AACATGACCGCGCCACCATCACATGATCGGGACACCATCAAAACATGACCGGGACACCGTCACAACACGACCGGGACACCATCAAAACATGCCCAGGACACCATCACAACATGACCGGGACACCATCACAACATGACCGGGACACCATCACAACATGACCGGGACACCATCAAAACATGACCGGGACACCATCAAAACAGGACCGGGACACCATCACAACATGATTGGGTCACAATCAAAACATGATCGGGACACCATCAAAACATGACCGGGACACCAGCATCACATGACCCGGACGCCATCAAAACATGACCGGGACACCATCCGCCCACCAGCTCTGACGGTGACCCGACGGTGCCCGTCCGCCTATTAGTTTTGCAAGACCCCATAGCATGGCTATTGGGGAACAATTTCTTTTTGCCTAGGCCTGGAACTGTTTGTCACAATCACTCCTACACAACAAACTCTATCGACTTCTAAACTTGTATATCGTGCTTGAAGCAGCCTCCCTAATTTATCTAATTTTGACCGTTCGTCTCGGGAAGAGATGCTCGAAGTGTCACGGCAAAGATCACAAACTCATCCAAAACCGCTCCTGCGTCCCAAGCCATTTGAGCACCCTTGACTTGCAGAAAGCGCAAGCGAGCGATCGAGTTCATCCTTTTTTGAGGGTGGAGTCGTTTTCATTGTCCATCTGATTGCAGACCTGGTGTGAGAATGTTAACTGATATTTATAGCCTTCGGCATGCCGCCGGCCACCAGCTCGAGCCCGCATTGGCAGGCAGCCTAATGATGCTTATTAACAGTGTTCCACGGTTCTATTTTCGTTCCAAGGCAGGGACAAGATCACCTCTTCTAGGCTGAAGCAGCTATATAATCCGGCACGTCTCTTTGATTCAACTCGCTTTTTCCTGTTCTCGCCATGGCCTAGCCTGAAGCAACCGGGGCAGGGCAGGCTGTCGAAACATCCGCGCGGAGAAACAAACCGTAGATTGAAACCAACCGTAGATTGAAACCAATGGAAACCAACACAAGCCAGACGAAGCAAGACAATCCACAAAACCGGTACTTGAAAATGAGTCTTCTTCCAAACTACTTGGCCTTTTGCATGTTTTCCTTGTCAGATCTTTTTTTCGACCGTCTTGAGGAATTGCGAGTCGCACAAGATATTCTTTATCACATACAGAAGGCTTCAAAGCGACCGAAGAATTTCTTGATCTGGCATGATTTGTCGATTTTTTCTCCAAACCGTTCGAAATGAAAGACCCAGAATGACATCGAACAACAATACCCTGCTCAATCATACTTGTTGGTGCATTGGAGTTGCACATTTGGCTGGGTGAGTTTGTTGATGTTTATTTCAAGGTTGGTTGACCATGAAATGGAACGAATCCGAATCAGAGGTTGTCTATTCTGATCCAGCGATCCGAACCGGCATGTCTCAGTCGAATCACCGAAGAGGAACCAATTGAAACCAACACAAGCAATGCGAATCCGAACCAAGACTATCCACAAAACATGACCTTGAAAACGATTCTTCTTCCAAACTACTTGGCCGTTTGCATGTTTTCCTTTTCAGATCTTTTTTTCCGACCGTCTCGAGGGATTGCGACACGCACCAGATATTCTTTTTCACACACAGAAGGCTTCAAAGCGACCGAAGAATTTCTAGATCTGGCATGATTTGTCGTTTTTTTCTCCAAACCGTTTGAAATGCAAGACCCAGAATGACATCGAACAACAATACCCTGCTCAATCAGACTTGTGGGTGCATTGGAGTTGCACATCTTGCTGGGAGAGTTTGTTGATGTTGATTTCAAGCGAAGTCGTTTTACAATGAAATCGAACGAATCCGAATCAGAGGTTGTCTATTCTGATCCAGCGATCGACATGTCTCAGTCCAACCACTTTAGACGTAGAGAGAAGGGGGAGGGGGGGAGGGGGGGGGGGGCGTCAGGCTGTCGAAACATCCGCGCGGAGATACAAACCGTAGGTTGAAACCAACACAAGCAATACTAACCAAAACAATCCACAAAACACGCCGGCAGGCCGGCGGATTAACTGTATGTCTTAGTAAGCAGTAAGTAAGCAGGCATTGGCAGGTCAGTAAGGAACAGTCATGAGGCAAGTGTGGAGGCACGAAAGATGGGTGGCAGCTTGTCTCTCCTTCTTTCCAGCAAGGTGGGCACACCATTGGCTCCTCATGGCTCCCGTCGACCCCTTCCTATAGCTGGTGAGAATTCTTGGCAGACGAAGCTGCAGTACTTGGGTACACTAGTAGCTTCTAGCTGCTAGCTGCTAGCTACTAGATGCTATTAGTAGTAATGGCCTTGTTACTAGTAGCATGCCCTTGTTACTAGTAGCTTCGATTCTTGTTGCAAGTAGTAATGCACTTGTTACTGCAGGATTGAACTTGACTTGCCAAAGGTGGATTTCTTTTATGCTGCTTGGCCACCAAAGAAGAGATCCAGCTCCCAGCTCCCCAGAAATCCCATTGTGAAGGAGCTGAAGGCCCAACCAAAGATCCAAGAAAAGACAAAGAAGTCCTTCCGACCTTCAAAAAGAAGAAAGAACCAAACGAGTCTGGCATCCCGAGCCTCTCGGTCTGGGCCATCCATCGAGGCGGGAGTCTTCGATCCAACATGGGAGGAGAGAAGGCCCAAGCTCTACCAGGCCGCTCATGTTTGTTGCACAATGTGAACATGGCGGGTGTGAAAAGTCGTATAGAACTTTCCAGAGATGCGGAGTGATGCGGAGTGGTCGTTGTTTCAATCTTGAGGCATTATACGTACGGTGTATTTTTCTCACAGTGCTTGTGATGTGTGGCTGTTTTGGTTTTGTTCAGGGCGACTTGGACTTCGTGAACGCTGGAGGGCAGCACTTGCCTTCTCAATGGGTGTGGTGCTTAGATTGACAGAGCAGTACTTGTAAGCCTTTGGCATGTTCGATTGACATGAATTGGTAGCATTCTGTCAGACAACTGGGCGGTTTTGACCCATCCCTCCTCTCAGACACCAATGTTGCAGACTCAGTGGCTAGTTTCAGCATGTTTGCAGTACACTTGTAGGCGAAGCTGCCATTGGTTTGGGGCATTGGAAGCGTTTTCTTCTCCTTCTACGTGCAGGGGGCGGCACCTTGTCTGCTGACTCCTCTTGAGCGCTTTCATTTGTTTTGCTGATACCTATTCACCTGATTCTACTTGCACCATATTTGCTTGTGTCGCAAGGCGGGGGCACACCCAAACTATATATCTGATTCAAAGAGGAAAGGTTGGATTGAAATTGATGTGGGGCGTCCTCCGCTGGTGGGGGCCTTGATGCGTGACCACGGATTTGCTGTCTAGAGGTCGTCTTGACGTCTACAACGTGGTACAGAGCATCCACACCACTTCATGGGTTGCTGATGCTTTGTGCGGCCTTGAAGGCAGGATGGTGTGGATGCTTGCGCTAGTTTGGAGGCTTGAATTACCATCAGCTTGCAAACTCGTTGGATAGACGCGTTCCATGATTCTAGAACACTCAGCCACACAAGGTAAACACATATTTACAGTAATCATCAGTAATCCAATAACTCTGCGTGGAAAGTTCTGGCTCAGAGTCAGACAGAGTCAGTCACAGAGTAGTCCACCAAGACTCGTGACGCCTGTGTTTGTTTGACATGCTGGCTGCGTGCGGTGAATTTGCATCCAGCGACATGACCCGTCGGCCTGAGAAGCGCTCTGGCGACCACATGCTCCAGGACAGGGAAATCAAGTGAAAAGATCCTAGGCACCTGTTTCTACTAGCTTCTTGTTACTACTAGTAAGGCGCCTGTTCCTAGTAGCGATGCACTTGTTACTACTGCCGTGGTTTTGCATGTTTTTCTGATGTGCACCACTTGGAGGGCTTGCGTATGCGCATACTTCCTGTCCTGCAGGAAGTCAAGCGTCGCAGGACGATACATGCCAAGATGATGATCCATGCTGAGGACTGGGATGCAGGCACGCATAATTGTACAGTACAGAAATCACAGAGTGGCTTAAAGTGAGCACAGTGCCGCACCCAGGCAATCCCTTAGGCCCTTTCAGGCCCTTTCGGTGAAACTTTGGCACAGGTTAGACCCAGAAGTACTGAATGTATGAAACTTGATCAATTTATATATAAAATAGTTTGCTCGTATTTGTCACTTTTGTCCTACATCCCTCGACTGTTTTGTTGCAGGATACCTTGGTGGCTGCTGGAGAAAGACTGCACGAGGCCTACCTGCGCAAGCGGAACACCTATGAGGCGGAGAAGGTGTGGGAACTTTTTTGTTGAACCTTATGGTAGGTCTGTATGGCCATGGAAGTTTTGTGTCAAAGATGACGTTTTCCAGGAGGAGTTGGCTTTAATCGATGCCAATTTGTCCTCGGCAGTGCACGAGCTTCGTTGCTGCGGAAGAGAGACGGAACAGAGGCATAACGAATTGTGTCAGAGGCACGGCCCTCGGGCTTGCTCGCTTGTTGACTCCATGCGCCACGCACATGTCAAAACTGATGCGATTCAGTTCCTATTCGAAAATCAGATATCCTTTGCGTCTTCTGCAGCAATTTGATCAAATGTCTGACTTGCCGTCCCGGAAACAATCTTTAAGCAACTGTCACATTGAAGGCAGTCGATGATGGACGCGGCAGAAGCAGAGTCTTCGCGAATGGAGCCGGCGTCTCTAATGGCACAAGGACATCCTTGGACCAGTCGAGTCATGTCGGAGCCTCACCCCAAAAGGATCCATCTGAGGCAGCTCGGATTGAAGACCGAGGTAGCTCACAGGCAATGGCAAAGGCCAGTTGGCACATGTTGGCACATTTTGTGGTTTGGACTTGTTAGGACAACTGAAGGCCAGGCAAATGGGAGAACATGACAAATTTTAAGAATACCTTTTTGCGTGACCATTGAACAGATTCGTCAACGGCCAGCAGCATCTGCTGCACACTTCCTTTCTTCCACACTGGACACTGGGCATGCTGTTCTCGGATAGTACATCCAGATACATCCTGTACATCTATACTGTATCATGGTCGGACCTCCACTGGGGAAGTTCAGCCACAAATGGGCTTGCGAGCTTTGCGCGGCGCAGGTTTATTGCAGATTCTAGCAGTGAATTGCTCAGAGAGCTACGACTTTGCCGCTGCTCTAGTCCAAAAAAATGTCACAAGTCTTGTACCAAGATCCATACGCAGTTTTTCTTCTGCACCTCACCCGTTCTTTATTCTTTCAGAACTCAGATGGGTTTTTCCAATATCGTTCATGAAACAGTCCTCCACTGCGCCGCCTTCCCCACAGAGGACTCCTTGATGCTCTGCGTCCGGAAGGGACCAGGGCGGACGGCGACGCAGTTCAGCGTATGGTGGACGCCCTCCAGGAGGAAGGAATGGAGGCCTCCTTGGCGGCCGTCGCTCCCGAGGCCTTGCTGTGTTGAGATCTGCCGTTGAAGATTGTCAAGATGGCGATGAAAGGTGATTTTCTATGATGTTCCATGATATATACTTTGTTTAAATAACAAGCGACCAGGGGAAGATCTATAATACGGTGGTTTGACGATTCGATATTCAGAAAATTCCAGATCGTTAGAGAGGGATTTTGGCTGCTTTGCATTGCTCCGAGGTTCTGCAGAAGGCGCCCAGCGGCCGACAGGGTTTCGAGCTCAAAGCCGAGGAGCACTTGCGTAAGTTTGCTCGAGAGCTTCATGGACGGTTCGAGAAGATTCTTGGAAGTGAAATGTTTGATGAATATATATATATATATATACATAAAGCAATTACAGATATATATATATACACATGCCAAGTTAAAGTTATCATACTCGTCGTCATGCAACTTTTTCTCATTTGCTTATTGACTCCTTTTTTTTAATCTCTTGGATTCTTGTTGGTTTCAACCTGCCCCCATTTTGGCTTCAGGGCCCAGAGCATTCTGGATGACCAACGAGTGGCTTTGGAGCACGCAAAGTCGGCCATGAAGAATGCAAGCAAGGCAGAGCAGCAGGCGGCGGAGCGTGTCTCCTGTCAACAGTTTGGTGTTGGAGCTCATGTCAGCTTCCAGTGACCAGTGGCAGACCATCCATTTGGCAAGGGAATCATTTTCTTCAGAGTGCGGACATTGACGGCTGCGTTTCAACACAGAATCATGAAGAATCCATGTGTTCGGTTTTTTCAAGGGAAGGGCATTTGTAACCACAGACATGTGAGGTGCAACGCACAGACATGTCGGAGGATTTTTCACATGGAGGGCATTATTAGTTGCTTTTGAAGCTTGACGCAGTAGACAATGCTCACGGGTCCTGATCAAGTCGCCGAGGTTGATGGTATCAAGAAGACTTACGAGGCGGAAGTGTAGAATGCCTGTATTGTGGTACGTGTGTTGCTTTTCTATTTTGACAGGCTTGCCGCAGGTCAGTGTTGCGGCATTGGACGTGCATACTAAGCCAAAACAAATATATGGATTCGATCAGGTAGTTTAGTTAGTGCTGCTGCTGCAGCAGCTGCTGCTGCTGCTGCTGTTCTCAGCAGATTAAGATGTTTTGTCATTGCATCAAACGGTTAGAGATGCTTCCAGGATCAGAAGGACAAATTGAACATCCTTCGTGAAGCCATGATTGAAGCAGAAGAGGAGGCACCCTTGGAAGACGTGAAGCTCACTGGTTCTACTATTCCTCAATAAGGGGGCACTCGCGACAGTGAGGCACCGCAGGCAATTGTGCACTGTCATGGTGAACCTGCACAGTTGATGTGAGCAAAGTGATGGGGAGGACTTTTTTTGTCATGTGTGTATTGGAATGGGTTTCAATTTATGAAAATCTTAGGGCAAATGGTCTTTACTCAATGTTTTTCCCTTGTTGAATTGGTTGATTCAACCAACGCCTTTGACATCCTTGTATGTACTCGAGGGGCACGGGGTTATGACCCAAAAATCAAGTGCCACCCAAAACTACCCCTTTACATATTGACCATGCCACCTGCGGGTGCTGGGTCCCATTTGAGCGGCCTGAGATATTTGTGGTTTTGACGTATTTTTAATTGGTTAGTATATTGTATATATAATTATCAATATCAATATCAAGGTCTGGCACAATGCAGTTCTCTAAAAACTGGAGAGTTTGGAGCGCAGCCAGCACCAGACTGACCGCACTGGTTTTTGAATCTGAGGGAAAAACAGATAAAATCATCGGACATCCCGTATTTAATACACACTACTTGTAGTTAGTTTCAACATCTCCCCAAATCTGCATTGATGTATGTATCCCTCCTGCAGCATCAATCCGCGACAGGCCTTGTGTTTCGACGGACTTCTGGAGCAGGTGGGCTTCAGGACAGGCAGTCATGGACAGACAGAAAGAGAAAACAGTACTTGAAGACAAAGCTCAATGATTTCACTTGGCCTAAAGTTTAGCCTAAAGACACTCAGAGAGTCCCACAGCACGAGTAGCTTCTTGTCCACTTCTTGAGGACACCCAGGAAGGAGAAGCACCAGAGCGACTCAGGTACCCGGAATTTGCTGTCTGGAAATCTCTGAGAGCCCCGAAATGTGGCGGTAAAGGTACCTGGCGACCTGTTTGTTTGGTCACAGAAACACCAAGCCAATCTTTCATTCAGGCGCTCAGATTGTTCAGAACAGGTACAGATTTGTAGAGACTTGTAGGTACTCCAGAGTCAACAGCACCGGGGACTCCAACGCAAGCTGAGGCACGAAGGGAAAGAATTGAGATGCCTTCGCGTTGACTTCCAGAAGTTCATCTCTAGTAGCATCCTTGCTCCTAGTAGAATTGCCCTTGTTCCCAGTAGCTTTTTGTTCCTAGTACTGAGGCCAGGAGCTACTAGTAGCGTCCTTGCTCCTATGAAAGTAAAAAAAACACGCCATCAGACTCGCTATTGGGTTGGAGGCCATCGCATCAGACTGAAGGATTTCGGTCATCGATTTTCGCATGATGACGTGCAGGAGATGACTCCTGAAAAGCTGGTCCGAGTGAGTCGCAAGACAAGTCCAAGTGAGGGCGACAAGACTGTATGATGAGTCGCTGGAGTCGCATGAGTCAAGCGACTGAGCAAAAAGGAATTCTGTAGTGTAGTGACTATGATTTTATGTATCTCGAATCATTGAGGCGTCATATTATCAGAAACATGAAAGTTGGGAGTTCTCTGAAGCCAAAGCTGTTGGAAGATGCAGATGCGTCTCCTGTAGTTTTTCGGACATCTAAAGCTGAGGGTTTGCCCCATTTCTCACAGAGATGGCGAAACATTGACCTAGAATCTAACATTTGCTGTGTATATTCTCGGCTATTAATGGTGACATATGAATCCAAGGCCAAGTATTTTGACCCATACCATCCATCCTTGTCTTGCACAGTGAGCATGCAGGCCACAAGGTCCAATCGAATGTGCCTGCCGCGTGCAGAGCTGGCTCAGGCATTTGTATAGCAGATCTGTGGCTACTTCGTGTAGCAGCCATGACCTACAGCCACTGAGTTTGAAATTGAGAAAATTGAAGGCCTTTTTTCAATCTTCACGGGCAATCTCACAAAAGTTCACATTTGCTGTTTACGCTCATTCGCATTTTATCGCCGGCTGCTAGTAGCAGCCAACTTCCATGGCTAATTGAAGATGAATGCAGTGTACAGTCATCCTGGCAGGATCATGTGGAAACGTGCCAAGTCCCAACCAACCTCTCCACTATTCCCCATGATCGGCTTGGACTTCGCAAGCAGGGCGTTGTTTTTGCACAGAATCGAAGAAAGCTCTGCTGGCCAATTATTTCACTGAACATCCATGGTCAAGTGAACCCTTGGAATCCTTGGTTCCTGGTTGAGTATTACAAGCTCTGTGGACAAAAACCGACGCAAGTGTTTGAGAGTATTTCCATGCATGCTTGTTTCCTTGCAAACTGGTGATCTTCCTTTATGTTGCTTCCCTTGTTCTTTGCACTTGCATCAGCATAAGTGAAGAGAGGTTCATGTGTGAGACATTCCTCTTACCAACAATTACATGAACCCTTCTGAAGACGTCACCAACGAAGGGAATCCAAGCTTCGAAGAAGACCCACAACGAGTTGCTTCCCTATGTATCATGTGTTGTCACAATATGGGTTTGCTACAGGGCACATCGCTATGAAGCCTCTCGCTTGTAGGTTGTGAATGCCCCCCGCCTCGAAACGGAATCGTAGGAATCTACCAAAGAGAACGATGAGTCAACCATGGTGAGATGCGTATTGAAAGACGTGGAAAGACATGGTTGGTTGAACGCCGCGTGATTGGGATGACATAAAGATCCTTTCTTCAGCTCTTAGGTTGGAGGCCATCGATAGTAGGTTGGAGGCCATTGCTATTAGGTTATTTTATGTTATTTTTTGATTCAGATCTTCCTTCCTTCAGCTACCTGCCTCAGATTCTTTCATTAGTTGGAGTGGCCTCACAGCACGGCAGGCCACCGAGCTCATTGTTCGGGCTGATTTGTACCGAGCCCGACAGCCCAGTGTTGGGTCCGTTCGTGTGCCCTAATGAGAGGGTAACCCAGTTTGAATTGCCAACAACATGTTTCTCTTTCCTTTTCCTTTTTAATTAATTTCTGTAAATACCCGTTGTTCTCTTTTCTTTCTTGTTTTATTTTCTTCTCACCGTTTGACCTTTAGACTCTAGACCTTTCGTTTTTCTTTCCTCCCTTTCTACAGTAATAGAAGTAGCATAACAACACAGGAGGAAGCCTGTGATGCGAAAATTGATCTTCTTTCTCTTTCTCAGTAGAGTGTGCTCGAGTTCTGTGCTTTTTTTTTGACTCAGTACTCTGTAAGAGAAGGCGGGCTTGGCCGCAGTCATGTATGCTACGTTCGATGGTTTCAGGGTGGATACGGTGAGCAAATGTGTGACTGTGGAAGCCTTCGCGCCGCTCGTCCGTTGAAAACAATCATTCTCAGGACCTTGCTGCTGCGGGCTATGCGGTATCATGGAAGTTCCAGGTGACACCAACTCACACAAATCGAAATTCCTTTGGCCACGGATCGAAGATGCAGGTGTGGAGCTTCCTGCACTATCTCACTGCAACCTTTGAACTTTTGGTCATGATGTTGATTGCTCTAGGCCGGGGCAAACAGGATTCTCACAATATGGAGTGTGAGTGATTGAATTCCTGTATTTGAGTGCAAATTCCTGTATCTGAGTGCCACAACCAGCCTGTTTGGGAGGGTTGGGAATGAATGAAGGCTAGTGGCTTCATGACTTGCATCGATAGTACAAGCATGTTTGCTTTACTTTGATGCTTAAGCCTCAAAGTGTGACCTGATTTGTTTTATTTCTGAATGCCTGCACACTGCACACTCTTGATTCGTTTGCCGCTGCCAAACAGCTCAATGTTTGTTCCTCCGCCGAAGACCGAAGCAGCGTACGGACCGATCGAGACGAGACTCTACATCAACGCCCCCTGCTCGAATTGCAAAACCAGACACCGTTGCCTGAGCGACGCCCCCTAGCTACATGAATTGATTTGATAGGGAAACAAAGCAAAATGCAAAGCATTGCAAGAGTCGACTTCCACTTCAGCCTTGCACTGAACTGGTACTCCGCAAGACAGCAGCTGACCTGTTCCAGCTCCTGGCCGCGGGTCGCCATGCTGTGACTGCAGGCTTTGTGAATTGTGAAAATATAAGAACTCTGTTTTTGCATCTTCTTATGTATCTTCTTATTGTGGAGCTCTGGGTACACTCAGCTTTAAATGAACGACTGAAATTAAGGTGCTGCTTCAATCCGGAGGCATTTTCTTCACCGTGTCAATTTATTTCTGTCTGCGTTTCTTCGTATTGGCTATACACAATGTGCATTTGCATCTCAGTCACCGACAATGTGTTCACCGAACGTCACTTCGTTTCTTATTTTCGCGATGTGTCCAGACCATGAGCTGGAGACATGCTGTGGAGGCGGCGACATGGTAAGACATGTTCAAAAAAGTGCTGAACAGACCCACCCCAACCATTGTGTGATTTTGACCCAACATGTCTGGGTTTCGGCTTGAACATGCCATTTGTTTGCAACCTTGGCAAACTGAACTCTTGAACAGTGTACAGTGTTATATTTCTTGAGTCGCATGCTACATGTGTGAATTGCTGGTTATATTGAATGATTTATCAATTGAACACTTGTATTTATATGTATGTTGATGTTCCATGTTTTGGGTAGTCCTTGCGACTTTGTTGGTTTGCATGAGGCAGATCTAGCTCACGCTCACTATTGGAAGCAAGCCTTGGAGGTCATTTGGGCTTGTGATTCAGGAATGAGGAAAGACCGACCAACACTTCTGGGTCAAACGAGGTGTTTCTGCAAAAATAGTGAGATGATGTCAGATGTCAGATTGGCATTTGGGCATTCCAAGCCTCAGACGCGGAACTTCTGAACTTCTATGCAAAATTGAGGACAATGCGATGTTGTTAATGCTGCCTCTAAAGAACAGCGCTTTCAGCATTCTTCAATTTGCTGCTCATCCCGAAAACTCCGCCACTCAACGCCAGGTGATCGAATTCCTGCAAGGCGAGTGGACCAATGCCGAGGTGCCTGGGCGGGTGCAAGTGCCCTGAACCTATGACATTTTGTGACCATGAGTCTCTGTTCGGCAGGACTCGAGTGAGAACTACTTCGTCATGGGCACTTCGGTGAGTCCTTCGGATCAAGGGATCCAGTGAAAGGAGGCAAAGTTCGCTGATTGATGATAAGTCTATCGGACCTATAGACGAGATGGGGCAGAACCAGAAACATAAATTTGGGGGGAACAAGGTATGCGATCATTTCATGTTTGATAATTAATGCTTTCCGCATGCGGCATGCGGACACATTTTGTACGCTCATGGAAGATGCATCATTGATGCATGATGTGCAAAGGTTCAGCCAGTGTCCACTTCAGTACTTGTGCCAAGCCACTTAGCTCAGGACGGATAAACTCCAAGGGCACAAAGACCTTCGAAAAGCACCTACAGTGGGAGGCCGTGCGGTAGTGTGCCGTGCGAAAACGGTGTGAAGCACTTGGAGTCAAAGTCCACGTTTTTGGAGCACTGCTTCGGTGCATAGACGGCGTGACTTTTCTGCCTATTCTGCTTGACTTTTTTTGGGCAATGCAAGTTGCTGGACCAAAAGAATCGTTGCATATCAGTTGACTGATTGGAGTGCCAAGTACGTACGTGTTGGATGGCATCGAGAAGCAAGCTGCAAAATGGCATTTTATTGTTAAGAGTAGAGAACGTCACGCGCACACCCTTGTATATATATATATATGGACTGCGCTCAAAAAGCCCTACTCCAAAAATATAGATAAACGTAAACTTTTAAGGCTGTAGCTGTAGATGTGTTTTTAAGTTTTCGTTTAGAAGCGGGCCCAGCAGAATATGGTGATACAGCAAGGCAGCGCTAGATTGGCGCTAGGTTGGCGCTAGGTTTCTTCATAACAGGATAGCAAGCAGGAAAAAGAAGAAACAAGCAGAGAGCAGGAAACAGAAGAAGCAAGACAAGAAAAAAGAAAAGCCAAGAAGAAGAATAAGAATCAGAATAATGCACAACAAGAAGAAGACAAGCAAGCAGGAAAAATAAGAATCTGAAAGGATAAAGAAATCGACGTAGATTTTTGCGCTAGGCTGGCGCTAGATCCGCGCTAGCACCGCGCTAGACGACGGTTCATTTCTTGACCATTTGCCCATCCAACATCCAAATCTTTTGAGTCAGCTCTTACGTCCTTCCTAATTATGTCGTTCTGAAGATTTTTGAGAACAAAAAGTGGAAACAACTGCAGGAGTCCAGCAGCAGCAGCAGCAACTGCTCCAGCATCTCAGCAGTCCGCGCTAGACACCTCTCACAGTTTTTGCAGTTCACACGCCTTCATGTTTAACATCCCTGTGGCTTGAGTGTGGTTGAAGTTCAAAGGAGATTTAGAAGCGGGCCCCCATGGAATTGCGACGAGTGCACCATTTTGGGAAAAGACATTTTGGAAACCAACCATATATATATATACTATATCCTGGGAGTCAAAGACTATAAAAAGATTGTCTTTAGGTGATCCGAAAAGCACTTGAGTCCAAAAAAGAGCCCGGTAATATGTATTAAGTAAGGAAGGTTCCCAGAGGTTCAGAAATCGCTTGGC